TGTAACGTAAATTTTCTGGATAGGCATCTAGTAGTGTGACTGATGTAATTATTTCTGAGTTTGGTCTGAACGGGAAAACTGTTCCTTAAGAGGTATTTGAACTTGTACAAGTACTCGTACACGGCAACAATGTGCTGATTGTGTTTCGAAAATAAAACATCCTATAACTCTAGATACATATACACAACCCATACAATCAGTTAAAACATAAAAATAAAATCAAACTTAATAATGGCTAAAAGTATAGCCAAAAGCGCTGGGAAATCTAGCCTGGATTCCCACAAAGCATGGCATCCTTGTAATAGTCCTCTCTAAGGTGTATAATAAATGCCTGTTTTTTAGCCTGCTAGAAGTCATCTTCTGTTGTTACAGTTTTTAAGAAATCTGGCGAATCGTCCAACTCACTCACTTATCGGCCTATTAGCCTTCTATCCATTTTGGGGAAACTCCTAGAGGACCTGATCAATGCTGAATTATTTAATATTATTTAATATTATTTAGTGTTGGCTTTTTTTTATTAGTAGTATTTCCATCATTTTTAATCTTTTCTTACATATAAATAAAATTATTATACTTGTATATCCTACTACTATGTTTTGGATGTAGTCTAGTAGTTTTGTATGTCTGTTTAAATGGGTTCTCTCTAAGGTGTATAATAAATGCCTCGCAGCCTCCTCTTTTCCTGCCTGCTAGATATCACCGCCTGTTGTTCTAGTTTTTAAGAACTCTGGTGAAACCTCTAACCCATACAACTGTCAGTCTATTGTCTTCTGCCACTTTTTGGGAAATTCCTGGTGGCCGGATTTAATGCTGAATTGGTTCGTCATCTCTCATCACAGGGTCTTTTCTCAGACAAGCAATAGGGCATTCGTTTCTTCAGATCAAATGCTGATTTACTAAGAATAATTGTGGAAAGAATCTATCATTCTCTAGATAAAAACGCTGAAACCCGGGTTGTAGCATTGGACATCACGAAAGCTTTTGACAGAATCTGGCATTCCGGCTTTCTCCACAAGCTCCGGGTACGTTTTTTGAGCTGATGCAGTTGTTCCTATCAAATTGTGAAATGAAAATTGTCCTGAACTGTCATTCGTCTACATGCTTTGGTACTAACCCGGGTGTTTCACGGGGGTCCATTCGTGGTCCTACTCAGTTTTTAGTCTTCATCAATATCCTTCCCGATGACATCGGCTCTCAGCTTATATCTACGCTGACAGCACTACCATTTACTCCTGCCTCTATCCGTCCGACAAGACCAAAATGGCAGTCGATGTACAAAATGGACGCCAGACCGTCGTTAACTGGGGCAAACGATGGCTTGTCAATTTAAACGTCTCCAAAACTCACCTGCTCTCCATTAATCATTTGAGAGACACATTGCTGCCTTCCATCAGTATGGCTTATGCTATCCTCCAAGAAAGTGACTCGTTTCGCTTTTTCGGGCTAACGTTTTCAGGTGACATGAGGTGGAAAAACTACAGTGAATCCATCGACAGATCAGCTGATAATAAAGTCGGGGTAGGGGGAGACAATTCATTTCGCCGGAATCTATCTTGCATATATATAAGTCTACCATTCCCTCATGTTTAGCATATTGCTGCCATATATGGTCCGGTGCCCTTGATATTTTCCTCGAGCTCTTTGATGAGATTCAAAGAACCGGCAATACTATTGGTCCTGATCTGGTGGCTCGGCTTCAGTTACTTGTCCACCATTTTTAATAAATATTTTCATTATAATTGTTCGAAACAACTCTTGGTATCTAGCCTATATGAATTTAAGCGCAATACCTGTCTGGCGTCAAGATCTCATCAATTTACTGTTGAGCTGGCTAGATGTAACCATAACTGCTATGCTGTCAGTTAATTTTCTCGCACTTTTCGCTTGTGGAACTTTTTTCTGGCTCCATGCTTTCCAGCCAAATTTAATCTGCAAGAATGTAAATGTAAATCTCTATCTACTGTCCTCATGATTACTCTTTTCTCTTTCTCCTCAATACCAATGTTTACGCTTCTAATTCCTCCTTGCGTCCTAGTGGCTATATTGCCTTGCTTGGGGTGATAGCGATTTAAAAAAAAAAAGAAGATTGTTTATACCATGTATAATTATAAAGCTACACGTATTTTAAATTGCACACGGACTTTATGGGCACTCCTGTGTGTGCGTGTGTGTGTTTGTTTTTATCATTTTTCTTATTCTTTTTTAATACGTACAATTGTCTTCTTAGGTCTCAATAGGGACGTATTTAAAGCAGATTAAAATTGTACCAGCGTCAATACGCAAAATAGACATAAGGAACAGGAATTTGATACGTTTCTTTCACTGCAAAAGACGTTGAAATGTATTGGAAGTCCTTATTATATGGATAGATAAAACAACATGAAACCAATCCCAGATAACTTTGATTATGAAGACGGTCACAATTCACGGGTGTTTTTGAAATTAAGAATAAGTATATTTTCGGAAACGCTTTTACCGTTTATAGTAGAACTTACACCCTAAGACAACAAGAAATATTCATTGAAATCTGTTAAATGTTTAACTGAATGCGCTCGGAACCATTAATATTTATTAAGTTCAGAAAAGGAGGCACTTATAAGCATAAAATAAATGAACAACTGAATCATGATGAACGACTGAATAAAAATACCTCGTCCGTCTTGTTCAATAAAATATGCATTGAAAGGGTCATTGTTCTCCAAATAGTCGTTTCCAACTTGCGTCCGAGTATGACCATTACTAAATATCTTTTTGGACAATATCTACTGATTTGATGTGGCTCTTTAGCCCAGCAAGTGACCTACATACTCTGGCACAAACAAGACGCTTAAGAATCCAACAGCGGTAGTACATAATCACGCAGTTTAAAATGTCGCAGGAAACCGCTTGTGGACCCGCATATCTTACCACAAATATCACATTTCATTTGATGGACGTCTATGGTTTTATAGTCAACTGCCGCCTTTCGCTCTAAAGTAACTCCTTAGACCAGCCATCAACAAACACACTCTACCACAATGTGTACACGTCAGATCAAACTTCTTGCGGGTGTCTTCAGGAAGTTCAACGGGGACGTCTTTACGCACATCACTTTTAAGCTTTGCGTATTTTTTTTTTCTCATCTTCAAGGTGTCGCCTTCCATTCCGAGCAGCCTCATTCAAATTATTGCGATCAGAAGCACATTCTTTCCAGTGCTCACAAGGAATGTTGCAATTCTTCAGCGCATCCTTGACGCAGTCCTTAAAGCGCATCTTACGTTTTGACGGCATTTCTCTTCCTTGTTCGCAGCTCACCTTCTGATGAGGTGAGCTGCTCACTGAAGTTGATGTTTTAAGATCAAGGACTCGACACTATCACAGCCGCTGTACATCACTAACAAGCATTTGCCAGGTAATGCCAAGGATACAACGTAAGCAGTACTGGTGGAATCTCTCAAGCCTTTTCATTTGTCAGCGGTAGACCAACCACGTCTCGCAAGCGTAAAGGGGCGCTCTAAGCACACAGGCATGAGAGACCTTCAGCTTTGTACTCACTAAAATTCAGTGCTGAGGCCACAGACGTTTATTCAGTTTTCCATATTAATTGCTAGCTTTTTGAATGCGTTTTAAAATTTCCACATTAAATACATGCATACATACATACATATCTATGTAATATATATCTTAAGATTTACATAGCATTGTCTACACACACACACACACACACACACACACACACACACACATATATATATATATATATATATATATATATATATATATATTGATGCATGTTTCATTAAATGTTATAGAAAACTTTTGCCTATTTATTTTATGTAAATTCTTTTCATATCAGTTGATAATAACATTGTCATTAAAAGACGAAAAAAAATCACCATACTGATACATATTTTTTGTCCTATCTAAGATTTCGACTTACATACGCCATTATCAAAGATGACAGTACACAGACAAAACAATAATGATAATCTGTTTTTGTTTGCATGGAAGATTTCCAAGCAACGACAAACTCGTGAATACGAGCCGCTGGAAGGGAAAATCGCACCGCAGATCATGACGTCACACATGACCACGCGAGAGTAAAAACAACAAGTATTAAGTATGGGAAGCCGTTAGTATAAACCAATGGCTTCTGTTATCAATTATAGGCATTTAAGAATATTTGTGGAGACTTGATACTTTACATATTGTTATGATGTTGATTTGGGGTTAGTAGAGACAAACGCCAAATAATACGTAACAATAAAAAGGGTTTTAATAGGTTGGTAAAAAGGTACAGAAATCGCCTGAGTAGTCAATAACTAGCTCAGCTAAGAACGTCTCTGTCTATCTCTCTTCATGTCAACTGACATGCCACTATTTAAAGTCTTTGTTCACAGACGCAGACAAGTTCATCTTCCAGAGGGGTGGTAGGTTTCCGACACAACACACACACACACACACATATATATATATATATATATATAGGTAACTATGCTGGATTCGAAAAACCTTCGAAGTTTTGATTTGCCAATAATCAAATCAATCTCGAGGGAAAAAAAAGGTTTTAAAAAAGAAAGAGCTAGAAACATGAAAGTCTGTCGAAAAAATTCTCACAGATACAGGTTTGAAGCCCAAAGAAAAGAGACCGATACGAGCAAACAACTAACTAACAAAAGAGCTATATATATATATATATATATATATATATATATATATATATATATATATATATATATATATATATATATATATATGGAACACCGTTAAAAATTTAAATAGCATCACTAAAATCTCAATTCCATAAAAAAAAAAAATAGGTTGTAACTATATATATTGGATCCCTGAAAATTAACTCCATTTTATGTATGATGGACTCTCCTGTCTTGTAAAAGTTATTGTTAAGCGGGAGAGTCCATCATACATAAAATAGTGAGTTAATTTTCAATCCCCAACTCTCTCTCTCACTCTCTTTATATATATATATATATATATATATATATAAAGAGAGGGAGAAAATTTCAAAATAGATAGATAGATAGATAGATAGATAGATAGATAGATAGATAGATAAAAAGAGGGTATAGAAAGAGACATGAATGATGTGTAACGTTTGTAATCTTTTTCTGTTTAAATTCCTGTCACTTACTGCAACACCATCACTGAGACGCCAACAATGACACAGTCAGCTGTAAGCTACTTGTGAAATTCAAATTAGTGCCGTGCTAATAAAGCCTTCCCCGACCGGCCATACTGTAAAAGAGATGAATGAAGACGCTTCCAGAACTGACAGTGCCATCCTATAATGATGTAATACTTACCGTTTACCGGAAAAAATTATATATATATATATATATATATATATATATATATATATATATATATATATATATATATAGGCGTTCTCTCCATTGATTGTGTTCGTCTCCTTCATTTACATTTTCATTACTCTTTTTATTGTTCTCGTGAATCTTTTCGTTTTATTAAAAAAGAAAACATTCCTCATTTTCGAGTTTCAGAATTGGACAAATATAACTGCACTTTTATGCCACGAATAATAATAATAATAATAATAATAAAAAATTAGAAAAAAAAGAAGAAGTAGTAAAAAAAAAGAAATGAGACAAAGAAATGCCTCCTCAGTGAGGTGGCTGTTGCTGCAGGCCATAATATGAGGTTAAGAAATACACTGACTTACCGATTGAAATTGTTAGAATGAGGGACGTTCCCGCTACTGTTTCCCTACAAATTTGCTGTCTGTTTGAGAACTTGGTTTAGACCTACCAAAATTCTAATTCTCTAGTTGAAAATGAAAATCGTGCAAATGAGGAGAAGTTAATAATAAGACCAGCAATAATAATAATAATAATAAAGGTTTTATTTTTGCTACGCAGGACCAATGCTTGCTAACTAGGAATTATCAAGCACATATACTAAAATATTGTGTCAGCCCAAAATGCAGATTCTGTGATAAATATCCAGAAACGATTGATCATCTTGTATCAGGTTGCACGGTGTTGGCACCCACTGAATATAAAACCCGACATGACAGAGTGGGCCAATATCTGTACTGGAAAATCTGCAACTTCTATGGGAAGGAAGCTGAAAGAAACTGGTATGAACACCACCCAGACCCAGTTACGGAGATAGGACCTGTTACAATTCTATGGGACTACACAATACACACTGACAGAACAATCAAGGCCAACCGGCCAGATATGGTTATTAAAGACCACAAACAAAAACGGTGCCTCCTTATTGATATGGCAGTCCCTGCTGACTGCAATGTATCTTTGAAGATATTCAAAAAGTTGTCAAAGTACAAGGACCTTGAAATAGAAATCTCGAAAATGTGGCATATGGTAACATCAACAATCTTTGTTGTAGTTGAAGCCATAGGACTGGTTGGAAAAGATTGCAGTAGACTAATTGAAGGGATTCCTGGAAGTCCATGCCTCAAGGAGATACAAAAAATTGTTCTGACAAGTACAGCCCACACCTTACGAAGCGCTTTATCTATGTAATTTATTTATTTTTTTTTTTGTCAGTGGAAATTGTCATGACGCCATTTCTAACCCTAGGTCACTGGGCGGGACCCGGAAAGAAATGTGTAAACGCCAGAAATGAAAGAAAATAAAAATAATAATAATAATAATAATAATCAAAGACCACAAAAACAAAATGCACTTCTTTACTGACATGGCAGTCCGTACAGATTGTAATCTATCTTTGAAGATCTTAAAAAAAAACAAAAAAAAACTATCAAATTAAAAGTAGAAATCTCAAAATTATGGCACATGAGGATATGAATAATTCACGTTATAGTTGGAGCCCTCACTTTGGTTGGAAAAAGATACGAAAAGACTCACTAAAGAAATTCCTGTTATTTCATGTTAAAGATATCTAAAAAGATTGTACAACTCTGTGCTTGGATGTCTGGAAAGTTTAATGGGCTTAGAACAACATCAGACTGAAAAACCGGTTCCCGTACGATCAGCGAAGTTAAGCACTTAAGATGCTGGTCAGAACCTAGACGGGTGCCCGCTTGAGTAATGACGGGTGCCCGCTTGAGTAATACCAGGTGCTGAAAGATTGGATATATTGAAGGTTTCATGGGCTTGCGGTCATATTATATTGAAAGACTGGTTCCCGTACGATCACCGAAGTTAAGCAACTTCGAGTCTCGTTCATACCTAGATAGGTGACCGCTTGGGAGTACCAGGTGCTGTAAGTTTGGATAGGAGGAAGGTGTAATTATTTTACGAGCACATGACATTGAAAGACCACGCACGATCACTACAGTTAAGCAATGTCGAGACTGAACAGTAGCTACATGGGTGATCGCTTGGGAGTTACAGGTGTTGTGAGCTTGTATGTGCCGGTGGTGTAATGGATAAGCCGTCTGAAGGGGAAGATGTAATAGGCTTACGGCCATATAACTTTGAAGACCGGTTCGCATACGATCATTGTAGTTAAGCAACGTCGAATCTGGTCAGTACCTAGATGGGTGACCACTTGGGAATACCAGGTGCTGTGTGCTTGGATGTGCCGGTGGTGTAATGGATAAGCCGTCAGAATTTTTAATCGAAGATCAATGTACCAATTTCAGTTGGGTTCGTTATATAACACTGACTGGAACAGGAACTCGGCATTCTGATTAAAAATTCCGAAAACAAGGGTGGCATATTTAGTGAGGCATAAATAAACTCAGGGCGGAAGAGGGTTTAGGAGAAATAATAGAAACAGATTTTTAAGAGCCCCAGGAGATAGGGAGTTGTGTAGAGCAAAGAAACCTACGTCCCAAACTTGTTACATCTTCAGTCTTCTAGGAATATAGGAAGAATTGTAACCGAGGGTGGAAATTGCGACACTGAATTCCCAAGCTGATATTTCACCGCTGTCAAAAATCATGGTGCTGACCAGACCTTACGATGCTAAACATGGGCTTACGGCCATATAGCGTCGAATTACCGTCAGCCATAGGATCAGCGAATTTAAACAACGTCAAGTCAGATCAGTGTCTACATGGGTAACCGCTTGGGAATAGCAGCTGCTGTAAGCTCGGCTATGTGGAAGGTTTTATATGCTTACGGTCTCATCACGTTGAAAGACCGGTTCACGTACGATCACTGAAGTTAAGCAATGTCGAGCCTGGAATGTACCTAGATGAGTGACTTTTTCACATACTCTTTAAGCAATGTTGAGACTGAGCAGTACCGAGATGGGTGACCTCTTTGAGATACTAATTAAGCAATGTCGAGCTTGGGCAGTACCTAGATAGGTGACGTCTTTGGGATACTCTTTAAGCAATGTCGAGCCAGGACAGTACCCAGATGGGTGACCTCTTTGAGATACTAGTTAAGCAATGTCAAGCCTGGATAGCAGCTAGATGGGTGACCGCTTGGGAGGGGAAACAGCACATAAAGAACATTAAATTCCGAAATATGTTCTAGGAATCTAGGATGTATTTTAAACGAAAATGTAAATTGCGACACTGAAATCCTAAGCTGGTATTGGCAATCCGTCACTCATCTAGTACTGACTAGGCTAGACATTGCTTATTGTGTTTATACGAGAATCGCTGTTTCAACGTTTTATTGTTCTAAGCCCATTATACCCACGCAGCTCTAAGCTTATTGCTCCTGGTATTCCCAAGCCGTCACTCACCTAGATACTGACCTGGCTAGACATTGCTTATTTGTGATTGTACGAGAATCGCTGTTTCAACGTTATATTCTCCTAAGCCCATTATACCCACGCAGCACTAAGCTTATAGCTCCTGGTATTTCCAAGCCGTCACTGATCTATGTACTGACCAGGCTACACATTGCTTATTGTGATTATACGGGAAGCGGTGTTTCAACGTGATATCGCCTTTAAGATAGAAATCTATGGTACGCCATGATTGCTTTAAATTTTGAATGGACACAATATTTAACAACAAAAAAGGAAATAATAAATCCTTGCGATAGAAAGGAAGAGAAAATCCGAAAGCAATAATTGTTAGTGTTATTAACGCGCGCGTTACACCGAAAATAAAGCAATTCTACTTTCTATTTTATAGCAAATTTAAAGTTGACAAAGAAATAATTGCAAAATAAATAACCCCCTCTGTTCCCTTTTGACGTTTTCCGATGCAAAAGCAATAACCATTTTCAAGTAGTTCATGGTTGTTATTTTTTTTTTTTATTAATTTGTGAATAGACATATTGACCAAGACAACCGCCCGCCACGCCTTCGCTGTATTGACCTTCCCCCTAACGGCAAACACTTAATGCGATTTTCAGAAGACCTGATCACTTTAATTACCGAAAGCAGCAGTATTGTATCGGACGCTCATTACTTATACATGACTGCTTTTCCCCCAATTAACTCGCTGTCTCATTAGGGGCTGCTGATTACCACACTCCGTGACCTTAACTTCCCGGCTTGCTACTTCTTCGGTCGGAGAAGGAATTGTCCAAAGCTATGACCTTTACATTTCAGACCTCCTATTGTTTCTTCGGTTGAAAGCCTGACAGGACAATACGCCAAGTTTAGGAATTGTATTAACCCTTTTTAACAAACGAATAAGGCCATTCACTTATTCTCTGGAGGCTCTTGTATTTGCCAAAATACAAGTAAATCATTCATACAATTATAATTCCTTGCTATTCTATACTAACAATCTTAGTTTTAATTGGCTTTTCGTTCAACCGTTAATAGGTTCCGTCAAAATTTCCTGGCTTCGAATTTAAACGATCAAACATTCATAAACTTTTTATCGATCTGAAAGAGGAAAGTAAAAAACAACTTATTGAGAGATATTTTAAGATGTCTAGCACAGATAGATCGTTAACATACACAAGTTGATCCTCACTAGGTGCCCTGTGGCAGATTAAACAAAATATGAACCTGTTATTGATCTGAAAGAAAAAGTCGAAAATATAACTTATTGAGAGATATTCTAAGACGTCTAGCGCAAATAGATCGTTAGCATACACAAGTTGATCCTCACTTGGTGCCCCGTGACAGATTAAACAATATATAAAGCTTTCAACAATTATTTAATTTTATTTATTTATTTTTTAATCATTTCACCCTAAGCAAGGCCACTAGTATGCAGGGGGTTACAGAGAGTGAAAGTGAAAATGAAAGTGACGACAGAGAATAGGGACGGTTGTGAAAACGACAAAATATGAAAGGGATTCAAGGAACAGAAGATGGCGATTGGCGATGCATTTAGATTTTTATAAGATTGTAGTCACCAGTGAAGCAAGTAACGGAAGGGGTTTCAACAGGAGGAAAGTTTGAGTAAGGAAACTGTTGGAGTGGAAGTTGTGGTCAAATTTAACTTCTTCAAAATTAAAAGGATGGGACCTAAATGCCAATCTAGTAGCTCGCTCAAATTTATGTATTCGGAGCAACAAGGGAAAAAGCTCATCAGATAAATTTCAATGAAATTATTTGTAGAACAGACAGGGTGAAACCACGCCACCTCCAGAAATTGACTGATGTCGAGATGTTAAAATCGACTACATTACAAATCATTCTTTGGATTTTGTCAAGAATTCGAGATGAATAGCAGGTGCACCAGACCACACATGGAAATAGTATTCAATGCACAGATGATTGGTAGATTTGTAAATGAGCAAGATTAACTCTGACGAGAAAAAATATTCTGACACGACACAGTGAATCAACTTTCCTTGCAGTAGATGCATCTATTGATTCGATGAAGGCAATCCAAATCAGTTGAAAACGCGAGCCCAGGAAAACCTGTGCTGCATTTAAATGTTTGAAGATTGTAGTTATCAAGGAAGCAAGTAAACGGAAGGGAGTTCCGCAGCTGGGAAGTGCGAGAGAAGAAATTATTGGAGTGGAAGCGGTTGCTGCATTTAGCTATTTCAACATTAAAAAGGTGTGACCTGGATGCCAATCTAGTAACACGCTTAAATTCATATATTCGGAACACCAAAGGGGAAAAAAGCTTGTCATATCAGTTACCATGAAAATATTTGTTGAAAAGGCAGAGGGAATCTACGTCACGTCAATGAGAAAGTGACTGAATTCGAGATACCAAGTCCACATTGATTACACTGCAGATCCGTCTTTGGATTTTGTCAAGAAACTCGAGATGTACAGCAGGAGAACCACACCAGATATGGCAGCAATATTCAATTCATGGGCGAATGTTAGATTTATTAATGTGCAAGATGGACTCTGACTAAAAAAAATGTTCTGTCAAGACACAATGAACAAAATTTCCTTGCAGTAGATGCAACTATTTACTCGATGTAGGCAATTCACTTCAAATCATTTGAAAACATGAGGCCAAAAAAAAACCCAGGAGTCTAGCGCCAGCCATGATGATGGCAGGCTGAAAAGTTTCACTATGGTGGTTAAATGAGAGTAGTTTTGTTTTAAAATTTACAAGCCATTTCCTGTCCCAGTTACCCACTGATTGGAGGCCCTTCTCAAGAACAGCGGCTCGGTAAAGATTTAATTGGTGTTCATGGAAAAGGTAGGATTAGTACTTTCCATACAGGTTGGCCTCCACTAGCTGATCAGTTAGCGTCACTGTCAGCTGGAATTAAAAAAAAATGTCTCTTGATATTTTTTTCTGGAAAATAGGTTTCACAATTGCTCAAGCATTATCGCTTTTTCAAACATTGACGGAATTTCCTCCCAAACGCTTTGTTTAATGCAGTGTGGAATATGAACCTATTAACTCTATTATTATTCGCTTCAGTATCTGTCTGTATTTCTTATATGAGGTATTATGTACATTATTTACTTTATTCGGACTATTTTCCTCGTCTTTGTCGCCATATTTATTACAAAGTTTCGGCCGTATTTTCGCTTCAGCTTACAAGTACATTTTTGTTACTGATGTTAGCAGTGTTTAAGTGATATGTTATTTTTATGTATTTATTTTGTTATTTAGTAAAGTTTTTCGTTGACCGGACATTTGGCCGACAGCTATTTGACCGAACGGTCATTTGACCGAGAGACATTTGGCCGACGGATATTTCACCGATAAAATACAAGTAAAAATAGTAACAAACGATACTTTAAGTATTTTAATTAGCAGTATTATAAGATAGAATAGGACTAATAATTTCCACTAAATTTCAAGTGATTAAATTAGTAAAGCTAAATTTAAATTTTTCTTATTTCAATATTTGTTTATTGAAATAAGTATTTTTTTAAAATATTTGAGTGTATTTGGATAAAAAGTAGCACCTAATT